CTGATAGTGGTAGTTTTGTTAGTGAAGAAGTTAGCAAAATCATCAGCAGTTAAAGAGGAGGTGGGTGGTGGTGGAGGTGGACAGAGGAGAGAATTGAATGTCTTGAACAGTGAACGTGTGTTAGAGGCGCTGTTGATCTTGTTGTGGAAATATGAAGATTTTGCGGCGTGAACATCAACAGAGAAGGCAGAGAGCAGAGATTGATACCTACTGAGGTCAGATGTGTCTTTTGATTTGCGCCATTTCCTCTCCGCTGCCCTGAGCTTGGTCCGGTGTTCACGAAGAACCTCAGATAACCAGGGGTTAGAGGGAGTGGTGCGTGCTGGCCTAGAGGAGAGAGGGCAGATATTGTCTAAAGAAGAGGTTAGGATGGAGCATAAAGTATCCGTTGCAGTATTCACATCCAGAGATGAGAAATGTGAGGGTGAGGGAAGAGAAGATGACACAGCAGAGGAAAGATGGGATGGAGAAAGTGAGCGCAGGTTTCGTCTGAAAGTAAATGGTGGGGAGGTTGGTGGAGCATGGGTAGTGAGTTGTAGATTGAAAGTAATGAGGAAATGATCTGAAACTTGGAGAGGTTTCACCAAAATGTTGTCTGTGATACAGTTGCGTGTGTAAACCAGGTCCAGTTGGTTGCCTGACTTGTGAGTACCGGTGGTGATGAGCCGTTTGAGATCGAAAGAGGCTAGGAGAGAGATGAAGTCTGTTGCATACGGCTTCGCTAGGTGAATGTTGAAATCGCCAAAGACTACAAGTGGGATGCCATCCTGAGGGAAAGAGGACAGCAACACATTGAGAAATAATAACTTTGTTTTGAATGTAAAGTTTTATTTTGCAGGAGAATTGAGGGGTTTTGCCCATTGTGTGTGTGTTTTTTGATTTGTGTGTAGAGTTCTGAGAGAGGCATGCTTTCAGAAAATGTGTGTAAACAATCGAGAAAAACTGTAAGCAATATGTCGAGGAGGGAGAGGAAGAGGAGGAAGAGGAGGAGGATGAGGAGGAGGAGGAAGAGGAGGAGGAGGAGGAATAGAAGGAGGAAGAGGAGGAGGAGGAGAAGAAGGAGGAGGAGGAGGAGGAGGAGGAGGAAGGGCAAGGGCAACTAAAGTGGCTTGAATTTCATCCGAGACTGCTTGTCTTCTTGCCCTTGCCCTTCCTCCTCCTCCTCCTCCTCCTTCTTCTCCTCCTCCTCCTCTTCCTCCTTCTATTCCTCCTCCTCCTCCTCTTCCTCCTCCTCCTCATCCTCCTCCTCTTCCTCCTCTTCCTCTCCCTCCTCGACATATTGCTTACAGTTTTTCTCGATTGTTTACACACATTTTCTGAAAGCATGCCTCATACTCTCAGAACTCTACACACAAATCAAAAAACACACACACAATGGGCAAAACCCCTCAATTCTCCTGCAAAATAAAACTTTACATTCAAAACAAAGTTATTATTTCTCAAAATGGTATTTTGTTTTCAAATGACACACACAAACCATCATATGAATAGACATTTATAAGAACCATTTGAACACTGATGTGCTCAATGTAAAACACTTCTTCTCCATTCATCATAATGACTTAGGCCTTTGTTTTGTTCAGTGTTACACTTACTACAGACTATAGTATATACATAAGTGTGTTGTAAAATATTTGAGAATATTGTTTTTGTATTCAGAACACACAAATACACGGTAACAAATATATTTTATTTTTACCACAAAAACAATGTACACAGTGTACATCCCAACCAACACAAAGTTGCACATACAGTGGTCTACATACAAAACAACAGAAAAATGTACTTTTACAGTAAAAAAACAAACAAAAAGAAACTATGCTGCATCCTCTCTTCTGTGTCGGTCTTTTATGCTAAAGCTCTGATTGCTAATTGTAAAACTGTGTGACAGGTGTTTGCCCATGTGACGAGTCAGTGTGCATATCTGAATGGCAGTGTGTTCCTTGTGAAAACAAGAGATTTTCTGCATGAAAATTGTGCCAAAAGCAGAGAATTGTGTGTAGTGTTTTGAAAAAAGTGTGTTTTAGAACTGCAATTTGAGTGTAAAGCAGGAATTGTGCTTGTAGTTTAGCAGAATTGGTTCAGAGGGTTGGTGCATGAGTTACATGTTGTGGTCATTGTGTCTCAAGTACCAGAATTTGTGTGTAAACAATTGAGAAAAACTGTAATTTCTCTGTGGATCCATTGTTCCAAAACAATATATTTTATAAAAGATTGTATAACCTGACTGATGTGTGTTCAATTTTGACTCTTAGTGTTTTCACCTGGGTAATTTTGTGCTAACTGAGCTGAAGCTGTGCTGACTTGAGTGAACAATATTGAATGCTAGTGCTTTCTAAATGACCACGTGGTGTAGGCAATGAGAAATGATGCTGTGACAGTTCAACAAATCTGACTAATGTGTCAAAACAGGGGAATAGTGTTCATAGTTTAGTGAAATGGGTGTGCTTTTTGATAAATGGCATTATGGTTTTAAAAATTTTAGTTCAAAAGCCTGGTTATAGTGTTTAAGCAATCGAGAAAAACTGTAATATGGCAATTGTCTAAAATAGATCGATTGTCAGGATAACCTTTCATGGGGTCAATTTATTATCGAATAATCTGCTTTGTCCAGCTAAACTGATCGTCCGATCTTCATCAAACCTCATGAAAGTTATTATAGACGTTCAAGAGAAGTTATTCCTCTGGCCATGAGTATTAACTTTCCTGTTCTATAAAAATACTATTTAAGTATCGACAAATTTGTAAAGCTCGTAGCTTGATCGAACATTTAAGGGACTTCGTAATATGAGCAACAGACAGAGTCAATCAAATGAATATAATGTATTTAATAAAGGTCTACCGGTGACTACAATTACATGGAATAAAATGTATATACAACACAATAGCAACAAACAATGAAATAAAATGAGAGATAAGAAGAATGATAGAAGAGGTAGAAAGTGGTCAACAGTATGGCAAAATCACAGAGACAGGAACCTTGAGATTGAGAGACACCAAGATATCAAATCACCCTCAATGGGGTAAACAAATCTTAAACGCTTTGAAAGCTCGATAAAACGAATACTTGCACATATGGTTCTCTTATGTTGCTGAGTAGGGAAGGCGCGTGGTTGTCGTTCCTTCTGAGCATCACGCGTTCTCCGTGGTTCTTCCAGTGTACGGAGGCGCGGCGGATTGTCCCTTGAAGGTGAAGTTACTCAAAGAAAAATAATTCAGGCTAAGTTCATTTCACTCGTCTGTGGAAATGAACAAAGTAGAATACGAAACGGGAAAACAAAACAAAACTAACGGACTGAAGAGAAGATCTTGAAGAGGAAGTTGAAGAGGGATGAAGAGGTTGAAGAGAGGAAGAGCCTTGAAGAACTGGCATTCCATCCTTTTGAAGACAATGGAGTTCACACCTCCTTTGGGGTGAACGGCCAATCACCTTCGAGAGTTCGCGGGGTCGTGGCCGGCGTGGGCTCGCTTACCTCCATACTCTCGGGCTGCCGCTGGCTGCGACGCTTCTTCTTCTTTGGCAGAAGTAGCGCAGGAAAAGGAAGAGCAGGAGGGGCGGCGTCGCCATCTTTAGAGAGAGCTAGGCACCGAGACAGGCATGCCCTCCCAGAGAGAGGAGCCGCCAGCAGAAAGTGTAGATTCAGCATGGGAAGGACCCAGGCATGAAACACACTCTGAATGCCTGTCACCCTCGTGCAAATGGGATTCGCATGTGGCGCATGTTGAGCGAGGCATTGAAACAACGCTCGTAGCTCTTTCAGACTGTACAACGTAACAGTACAGGTAGAAAGGATATATGTCGATTGTCGGGTGGCCACTGGAGAACGGCGACAGGAGAAAGCGGCTTCCAAGACGAGTGAAGGCGCAGTCAGCTGTGCGAAGGCTCGTTCTGGCAGAATAAGGCTTGTTTCTACGGCGATAGCTTCAATGTTTCCAGAGGACACAGAAACGTGAAGTGTCGCTGAAGTAGAGAAAATCTGCTATAATGGCGAATTCGGGCTCCTTTTATAGGCGTTGCCACACCCAATTTGGCGGTCTCTGAGGCGCCTTCGCCATTGGATGTGCAGTTGCTGCAGCACAGCCAATGAGTGAGCCAGTCACACACTTTGCTCGCTGTGCAGTTGCAATGCGTTTTACATATAAGTTTCAATAAATCTGAGGAAAGGAGTTTCCCAACTGCGTATAGCTACGCAATACGAAGTGACCGTTCTCGAAAGGGAACCTCAGTTGATAGCCTGGACCAAATGGACCAGAAAAGTTGTATCTTATTTTGATAGTTTTGGTTCATTTGCACTAAAAACTATGCAATCAAATATGCATTTCATTGGTTATAGGGGAAATCCCTACTTTGTGTGTGTAGCAAGACCATATGCCAGTATTGAGACACTACTATGTCTTAAAAATGTTGTCTTGAAACCACATACCCTGTTGTTAATTGCTGTTTACATGCAAGCGTTATAGCTAAATTTATGTTAGAATTTAACATATTACATTTAAACAAGCCAAAAATGGTTTGTTACCGTGTTCTTATTGACTCTTAGACCTTCAGTTTCACTTCAATGTTGGACTGTTTGAAAGGTACAAAGTTTTAGGAAAGAAACAGTCTAGCAATAAATCAGAATTCCTCTTAATTATTTTCTTAATTTATTTTCTAAAGACATATTAAAGTTAAAAGGCCTTTTAACACCTTTGTATAAAATTGTTCTCATGTAAGACAATAGAGAATTGAAAAAGTATATCCACTCAATTTTCAGAAGGAAATGATACAAAATACAATAGTTTCAGCCTCTGCTTGAAATGGGATGTTCAAATGTTTAAAATGGGTTTAGCTGTTAAACTGAAATAATTATAATGTAATAAACCTACAGTTAATCATGCAGTATTTGTATAAGGCGATCAATAGCATATTAAATGTTATTTAATAGGAACTGATCAGAGATGGAACTGTTCAGATGTTGTTTGCTTGGTCATTCACAGTGGGTTGATGGGTTGTGCTGTTGGTTATGGTTTTGCTCATCAGTGCTGTTCATCCTGTTTTTTTGCAGGCATGTACCAGTTTCATTTACAGCTAGATAACCACCACAGGATGCATTTCCTGGACAAATCAATCATTTATTTTTTACAATGTTCACATTTGTCATGGTGATCTTGAGACCAAACATAATGGAAGAAAATTCAGAAGACCCTTGAAAACCAACTAAAGGATTGAAGCCTTTTCCCTCATTGAGTTCAAGAAGAAAAGACATGAAAACAGCAGCAAACTGAGGTTGGACTGGCGAATTGACACCGAAGATGGATCACAGATAAGTTTGATTAAATTAAACGTACAGCTTTTATTCATTTCTTTATTGTGCCTGTAATAGGCATGTAATAAATGTGTTGTTACATTATTAGACAATATTAGGGTAGTTCTTTCAATAAAAGTTTGTAGCTTAAAAATGTTATGATTATATTAAGGAATAACTATAATATATACATTCATTATATAATTAAACAATATTTGTATAATTTAAAAAGTAGCATAAGGATTATTTTTTATTTGCTAGTCCTGTATTTTTTAGTGTAGATTATTTTTTTTATTGCTGGTCTTTGGAGGACCTTCGTCAGGGGGCGCACTTTCTTGGCGTGATTTGTGAAACAGCACCGTTGTAATGGTATGTATAAATAATTCGCATGAAATAGTAAATATTTCCATCAAAATCCATTTTATTATTCCATTTTTACTAATAAGGCAGATATTGGGTAATTACTGAAACTTTTATTGTATGTGACAATGACAGCAGCGCTACGTTTAGGTGACTGAAAATCTGGCTGTTGCTACATTAGCTATTAGCCTTGTGGCTTTTCTACACTGCTGCATGCTGCGTGTGTGGTTATGTGTTTAGAGTCAATCTGGAAAAATCGTATGTTTACTGTCATTCTTTTTACTTTCATTATTATTTGGTGGCAATTTTTTTGGATTCTTTTATTGTTTCTTGGACACTTGTTCATCCTTCAAGGTCATCAAATGGCTTTAACCACTTAAATCAAGGCCTAGTGATGCCCTCTCAATATTACAGTATTGATTTCTTTTTATTTTGAATATTAATTTATAGCACATATCAAACATGCTTTTTGTTCAACTTGTGGCGTAAGGGTTTAAGTTCTGGTCTGAAAGCTGAAGGTTGGAAACCCACAAGCCCCGATGCACAAGCTATTGCCATCACATATGATAAATTAAATAATATTATAATTATTATTGAGGAACGTGGGTTTTTAATTGCCTTATAACTTCTTGATTGCCTTATAACTACCTTATAGTTCTCACTCTGAATTTGGGTCCTGCTAACTACAACATGTGTTTCATTTGCATTTGTCTGCAGGGTTTGAAATTCAGTAACCCCCATCCACCCACAGTGTGTCAAATTAAGGTACTTGAACTTTTACAGTATAGTGATTGTTTGTGAAATGGTTCATGTTTTTATATTTAGTCAGCAAAATTGCAGAAATCATTATTTTTAAAAAAATATAACAGATCTGGCAATCGTTACATACCTTATTAGTAATAATGTTGTTATTATTATAGAAACTATAAAACCATGGCTATGAGGTAATGTCATAAAACTCTGGATTGTATACAAGAACTATGGTTACTTTTCATTAGGGCAACTATAGAATTTATAAGCTTTTTAGCCTGGATCCCATTAATTAAGGATGAAGCTATAACCTTTTCTTCTCTGTAGATATGTTCAGTAGTAATAGGGGTGTAACGATACACGTATTCGTATTGAACCGTTCGGTACGAGGCTTTCGGTTCGGTACGCATTACAAACCGAACGATTCGTTGGACCATTTTTCCTGCCGACCAAAAACCACCACAACGTTGCGCAACATCAAATGGCAATCGCAATGAAAGCGGAACGAAACTCATTATTTTGAGCTTCACGGACCGTTTATCAGTTTGGACCAATGTCAGTGCAGCGCGATCAAGCGACACTGTTACTACCAAGGGGGTAATCCATCAGCCGGAAACTGAAGCTTCCCATGGGGGCCGCCATTGTAGAAGACCATCACCTGCTTTTAGCATTCCATTGACTCCCATTCATTTTGGCGTTACTTTGACAGTGAATAACTTCACATCTGAGGCATCCAAAGACTCCATTTGTCCATTGTTTATTTCTAAAGAAACACGACAATGTATAAATGGCTCCATTACTCTGTATCTTACGTTAAGAAGACGTTTTTGTAAACAATAGGCTAATGATTGCGTCATAACCACGGGACTCGGCAATCGGGAGGACGTGGAGGTATAAAGTCAAGGGAGAAGCCCATAGAGAGTCATAAAGTTGCTCCTGCTGCTAGCTCATGGACAGCTAATACTCACGATCTCCGGCTCTGCAAGATTCGGAAGGGAATGATTCAGATTCCTCTTGGCACAGCTACTAGAAGACGTACAACTGTCAGACAGGTTGCTCACGTCACATCTACGTCGTCAAGCTCAGTTTGAGCCTGCACAGTGCGCTTGGCAATCAGGAAGTGAGTGCTTCTAATGGGCTTCACTTTTCTCCGTTGAAGTCTATGGGGTCGCTGTGTCCATTTCTTTTACTGTCCATGGATTTCTATCGTACTTGTTTTGTAACTTTGCATTGTATTTAATGTTTTTCATTTACATGACATTAACAAATAAAACTGTATATTTAGACCCCTGTCCAAAGTGTGGAAAACCCTAAAGGATTTGGTGGCATGATAATATACGATCAAGAGACATTCACCATTAACAAGCCACACTTGGTAGGTTAACATGCTTTACTGTTTGCACTCCTAATATTGAATGACTCGCGATTTATTAAAATACTTTTTTTGTCTTCAGCAGGTGGCAGTTCCTGATCATAGAGCCTTGATTAGGTGAGATATTATCGTATCTCTTATAGGGCAAAATAATTTTCAGCAGTTTTATCAATAACAATGTAAAATTTTATATGACTTTGCTTCTATTTGCGGCTTGTAATCATACAACTTTACTAATGAATAAGAAAATATTCCCTTAGGAAGAACAGCTCTGTCAGACCTGGTCTGTTTTAAAGGCAAGTGAAGACAAGTGAGAAAAATGCCTTCCAAGACATGAACATCTCCGCTTCCTTTATGCTTCAAAAAAAATAAATTCATTTTAACCCGTGTCTGTTAATAGTAATTTCCCACTGAATTTAAACTGTCCATATTTGTATTTCAAGAGGTAGTCACTACTAACAGTTTTTCTCAACTGGTGGATCATGGCCTAAAAGTGGGTGGCAAGACCGTTGTGCAGTCAAAGAAACAACAACAATAAACATAATTCTAATTTTCTTTTCTTTTGATGAGAAACTGTTCTTTTGAAAGACGTGTGTGAATGCTGTTGACCCTTCCGGGGCTACTTAGGGAAACGTTGCCACATACCACAATGCAAAAAAACGGTCCAAAAAAATGTGTTGTTTTTCTATAAAATTATGATTTTCTTTTCTACTTAAATGCATATTTCTTTTAGAAATGTATAGATTTATATAATTGGAACTCATGCAAACCAAAAATAAGTAGATCCCTAAATGTAATGTTTTTGGACACGTACACACATGTTGTTAATTTCAATTAAATGAAAATGTATTATAGTTTACATTTATAATAAATGCAATTAGCTGAACTATAGTGCTTTTGACCCACTTAAGCAGAACTTAAGTACATCTTTAAATTTAATTTCTAATTACTTCTATTGTCTGAAATATGTTTAAATGTACTGTCGAATTTGGGGACAAGCATTTATGGTAAACTAAAATATACTTTAATGTAATTTCTATTGAAACTTGTACGTCATGTATTTAAAAATATTTGTAATTATACACATATTGATAAATAATATATTTCATAATTTCAATTTAGAGCATTTAACATACATTAACTTTAAATGTAGTATTGAATAACTCACTACAGTTAAATTATAATCAAGTATTTTTATGTGCCTTAGTTCAACACATCGAAATAAGTGTGCTTCTTTAAGCACACTTACAAAGTGGTCTTTTATTTCATTAATATTATATTTGGTGCAATTACAGTTTCTTTTAAAATATACACTTAAAGATGGTATGAAACTGAAGTTGGATAGTCTTTTTTTCATATTGTGGTGTATATCCGTCATTCTTGGAACAAGAAAATGTAGGGCGATGGTTGTGGTTTGCTGTGCGTGACAGGTTGTCGCGGCACTTGCGCCAGTAAACACGTCATTAGGGTAGAGATGCAACTGTAGGAGGAAGGGGACATTATTTTGATTAGAGATGACAAGGACACATGATTTAAAAATAAATAAATAAATGATGTGTATGGACAAATAATTTATAACACACACTGCAACTTTCCATTAACACATAATTATTAATAACATTAACACAACTAAGCACACACTTCTTTTTTCACAAGGGTAAGACCTCTGTTCACTACATTCACATACTTTTATGTTGCTTCATTTGGTTAGCATGGTAAGGCCTTTTGTAGTTTTGCCACATCATTGTGAATCAGTGACAGCTGTAAACATTTTCATGGGAAGGCAGTTTCATCATGGTAAAATAATAAATAAATAAAAATTCCCAAATACGCCATTCCCATAATAGCTCTCTAAAAAGGGAAATGTAACTTTTTTTTGTGCTTGTTTGTTGCTTAGGAAGTTGTTCTGTCTTACAAAATTATGAAAAGAGGGAGTTTGAAAAAAAAACAAAAAAACAACAACACATAAGTGGAGTCATAATGACTTGATGAAACTAGGACATTTCAACTGATGTCGTGCCATTTCTTGGTTCTTATAATTTTCTAAAGGAAATTGTTGGCTTGTTGGAGCAAGTATAAACTTCATACCAATGAATTACTGAATCTTTGGGAGGAGTCCTGTTTGCTTCCAGATCATTGGGTTGGGATATAACTGAAATCGTTCAGTCTTTTCCAGGCAGTGACACAGGGAACACAAATTGGTTTTCTTTGATTTTCTTTATGTTTTATTGTACTATATTAATTTCTGTATTGGATTACTTGTGTATCTTTTTGGCAATGACACCATTCCAATTTACTGCTGATCACTGCAATGAAGGTTACGGGTGCTTTGAACATGAAGTCAAGCTCTACAAGGTTAACCAAAGTCTACGAGGACTTAAAAGGTAATGCACAACTCAAAGTGGTTTGTTCTAGCATGCTGAATATTCACTGGAAGCAGTGTATGAATTGAGAAGAAAATCTTCAAATTACACATTGCCACATGTAGAAAGACAAACATGTGCATACACTTCAAGCTCTCTATTGACATCTGTGGTTGAAACTTAAAATTGCATGTTAAAGTTCACAATAAAGTGTAACATGCAGAGGATTTTAATGTATGTTATGCTTTATCAATCTGTGATGATGTACACGGCAAGGAAAAAATTGCAAAAATGTGCTAAAATCATAACACTGGGGCAATACCGTCAAATGCCCACCAAATTGTGCCGTAGTGGCAATACAATTTTTGAAAAATTTTCTCACAATATATCAGATCTTACTAGCTATACCAAGAAAGCCCTACAAGATCTATACATGAAATATATTGCTTGAAGAAGTAAGTAGTATAATCTAGCGGACATGACATAAGCACGCAAGAACAAGATCCACGTCTTTAACAATTTTGGCGCCATTTCACACATGAGGAGTAGACCCGGAAACAAGGAAGACTTCCAAGATTTAGAGAGATTACAATCACAGATTAGTAAAAGTAGAATAGATGTGAATTACAAAGAGGTAAAGTAGGATACATCCATTTTTGAGATCCGAACTCACCAAAGTGTTCAGCGACAGTTTTAGTTGGTTCTTCGACATCTCCGTCACTGAAGCCATGGTATGTGAATCAAGGAAAAACATTACTGTCATCATCTAATTTCAGTTGTAATGTTTATAGCTAGAATAATTCGCTTAAATCTATAACTTTTTACCATACGATGACTCTATAACTCAGTACGACAGTAAGCATTTACAACATGTGTACGCCGAGTTTACACTTAAGAGCGCAGTATCTTAACCGTGTATAGACAACTTATGTGTTTCATAACTTTGTTTAATCAATTTAATTTCTTAGTTAAGTTAAAGAAACATCTTTAAATCATTGTTGGATGTATTATAGGGTGTGACATGAGAAGAAAACAGTGGCGAGATTCAGCCTGAAGTCAGTTTTGATAATACAAACTCATCTGGAGTTAGTAAATAATACCTATTGTTAGTTATACATACTATTATACAGATCACTGCTATTTGTTCTGTTATTATAGGTGGAGGATGCAGAACACTGATAGCCAACTCAAAAGTTTAATTAAAATTAATTTGTATTTGCTCAAATTTTGTGAAATGTGATTGTTTTTTTTCCAGTTCTGTTGTTTTTTTTATTTTAAGGTTTCTTTCCGAGATGTCGACAACCAAGATGGGATTTCTGAAGACACATTTGAGGAGGCTAATATATTAATTGAACCTACTGTAAAGGTAATGAGAAGAGAGCATGGATCATGATTTCTCTAAAGGATTTAAGATTCATTACTAACAATTACACATTTTCCAGCTTTCAGTGCAGTGCGTGGAGAACCAATGGGGCCTTTGTGGGCAGATTGTGTATGATGATGTGTCATACTCCATCTATCTCCAACCTCAGGCTGATATTGATGATGAAGGCATTGTAATCGACATGGAAGAAGATTGAGGCCAGAAATTGGATTAATGTGCAATTGATGAGTATGATCAGGGGGAGTAAAAGCATGAAGGACTTTTCACACTATACAAACCCCTGGTTAAACTTTCCTTTCAGCATCATTTCACGTGTCATTTGAAAGGTTTAGCACCTCAAGGTTATGAAGTCCAGCATGAGTAAAGCTAACATGGAATTGAGATCAGGATGAGATTTATTCCTGGGATTGATTTAGGGGTAACACTTTACAATAATAGTACATGAATAATCATGTACTAATACCTGAATTAATAATTACTTTACTATGAACTAATGATGAGCTAAGACATGTACTAATGAGGAACTAATCTTAACTACGACATGAGTCAATTCCTGCATGAATATACCATCTTAACTACACGTTAGTACATGCTTGTTAATTAATGCATTAATTAACATTTCGGGGTAAACTAAATCAAACATGTTCTAGATCAGAAGAAAGATGTACTAAAAGGGCACAATGTAAAATTGTTCATAAATTTGACACCGGCAACTGTCACAAACATCAGTGAATGACACTAGATGTCTTGCAAGATTTACATTTAACCTTACTCATTGAACACACAATGATGCATTCATCATTAAAAACAATTTAATCTCATTCTGTTTTAAGTGATTCCACTGCTGCTATCAAGAGTGAAATACCTACACTAACATATTCATTAACAGATGCAATTTTCAAAATTAAAATCAGTGTTAGCACAGATGATGGTTATTTATGTGGTTATTTTATGGATTGGTTTACTGTCTTTATATCATAATGCAGTTGGATGTTAGTCAGTTAGGGTTCTTGCTCTTCTTTTGGGCCATAATGTGTCCATTTTCTAGAGCAAGTTTGATTTAGTTTACCCCGAGATGTTAATTAATAAGCGTGTAGTTAAGATATGTTCATGCAGGAATTCATATGACTCATGTCGTAGTTAAGGTTAGTTCCTCATTAGTACATGTCTTAACTCATCATTAGTTCATAGTAAAGTAATTATTAATTCAGGTATTAGTACATGATTATTCATGTACTATTATTGTAAAGTTATCGATTTGGGTAATCCATGTTGTTGAAACAAAATATCATAAGGCACTTTTTTGTACAATTGGAAATGAAGGAGTATTTGTTTGAATTTTGAACAACGGCACATGTGTAGATTCTGTT